AATACTAATACTAATTAATACTAATACTAATAATAATACTAATACTAATACTATTACTATTAATTAATACTAATACTAATAATAATACTAATATTGATAGTATTAATAATAGTAATACTGATATTAATATTGATATTAATACTAATACTGATACTCGTACTACGGGTACTCATATTGATACTAATTATAATACTAATACTAATACTAATACTAATACTAATACTAATACTAATACTAATACTAATACTAATACTAATACTAATACTAATACTAATACTAATACTAATACTAATATTAATACTAATACTAATACTAATACTAATACTAATACTAATATTACTATTAATACTAATACTAATACTAATACTAATACTAATACTAATACTATTACTAATACTAATACTGATACTGATACTGATACTAATACTAATAATAATACTAATACTTACTGATATTGATACAAATACTGATACTGATACTGGTATTGATACTGATACTGATATTGATACTGACACTGACACTGATACAGATACTGATACTGATATTGATACTGATGTTAATAATGATACTGATGTTGATAGTCATATTGATACTCATAGTAATATTAATATTAATACTAATACTGATACTCATACTAATACTGATACTAATATTGTTACTCATACTGATACAATGCTGATAAAAATACTAATACTAATACTAATATTATACTAATAATAATGATATTAATATAAATATTGATGCTGATATTGTTACTGATACTGATATTGATATTAATATTGATACTCATATTGTTACTGATACTGAAACTGATACCGATACTGATACTCATAGTGATATTGATATTGATACTGATACTGATACTGATACTTATACTGATACTGGTACTGATATCGATACTAATATTGATACGGATACTTATACTGATATTAATACTAATATTAGTACTAATACTTATACTATTACTAATAGTAATATTAATACTACTATTGATACTTATACAATTACTAATACTATGCTAAAACTAATTTTAATGCTAATGATCTAATGCTAATGATACATAACACATATACATATACTGATACTGATACCGATACCGATATTGATACCGATACTGATATTGATACCGATACCGATACTGATACTGATACTGATACTGATACTGATATTGATACTATTGATACTGATACTGATCGATATTGATACCGAAACTAATAATGATACTGATACTGGTACTCATATTGGTACTGACATATATTGTGGTACTGATACTGATACTGATACTTATAATGATACCGATAATAATATTGATACAGATACTTATACTTATGTTATTACTAATATTTGTACTAATACTAATACTAATACTAATACTAATACTAATACTAATACTAATACTAATACTAATACTAATATTAATACTAATACTAATACTAATATTAATACTAATACTAATACTAATACTAATACTAATACTAATACTATTACTAATACTAATATTAATACTAATACTATTATTAATACCATTACTAATACTAATATGTTAATATTGTTAATGTTAATGCTAATACTAATTTTGATGCTAGTGCTAATATAGATATGCTAATTATATTATGTTAATTGCTAATTAGTTGTAATTTTAATATTATCCAAATCCTTATTGTATTCCTAATTCTATTCATAACACTAATCATAGTTCTAGTCGTAATCCTAATCATAATCCTATTCCTAACACTAATCATAAGCCTAATAATTTTAATACTAATAGGGGTAATGCTAATGCTAATGTTAATTCTAATTCTAATCTTAATTATAATTCTAATCCCAATCCTAATGGTAATCATAATCCTAATACTAATGCATGTCACTAATTATCGTACTAAGCATAATGCTAATTTTAATTATAATTCTAATACTAATATTAATCATAATCCTAATATTATATTAATCCTAATTACAACCTGAATCATATTTCTAGTATTAATACAAATACTAATTCAAAGAATCTTAATTATAATTATAATTCTAATACTAATATTAATCACAAATTCTGATTTTGCAACAAATTCTTTTTTTTTTTGCAATGATCTATTATTTAGTATAATTCAATCTCGAACATTTATATCAAATTTCTTATGTGTGGTAGCTGAACCATAAAAAAACACATATTAAATATATTAGAAATTAATATTTAATTATATTATCAAACTGACATTAAAATTATTTAAAATATTGTAAGGGTATAAGCAAACGTTAAGACGTAAAAGAACAATAATCATTGTTAATAAGATAAATTATGAAAATCCTCATGAACTTAGGCTAAATTACAGAAAACACCCCCACTTATCGGTGATTACCAAAATCCCCCTGATGTTTGTTTCTGTCTTACACGACCCCCTTATGGTGTGATTTTTTTACGGAAATTTTTTTTATTCCATGTAATGTCCCAAAAAATATGGAGTTTACCCTTGCACACGTGACATTTCTTATATCATACTTTTTAAACTCAAAAATACCCTTGGTCATGGTAATAATAAAAATTTGTGAAAGTGTTATTTAAGAAGAATAAAGATTTCGTGTAAAAATTCACATTGGGGTAATTTTTTTCTTTAAAAAAGTACCATAAAGTAATGTCGTGTGTGCATGGGAATAATAAGCATTATTGGAAATATTTCCACGTAATAAAAAAATTCCTTGAAAAATCATACCAT